TGGATCCAGTTTAGATAAGCAGATGCAAATTGCTTCCAACAGTCTACAAGAAATTTCACAAGCTGATGCCAAATGGTCTGAAAGGCTCTCTTCATACTCACTGTATTACAGTCAACAATCCATTGTAGGATTGATTAATGTAGACCAGTGCTTATACCATGCGTGGTGGCACCATGCAATGTAGGCTACATTACAGCATTCTAAATAAAATATCCCTTTTGTTCACTACAGCCAAGTCCTGTATCCTCTGTATCATGACGCACACCATTGGCACCAAGATATGCAGATTGCTTGTGACAGAGAAAGTGGGAAAGAACTGTTCCAGGTGCTACAGGGCCTGGTGAATCCAGACCATCTCCATTAGTTTACAGAATGGAGCACTTCTCATTGTGGGATTATTACCTACATAAAATCACTCCAATTTGGATGGCAGAACCATAGCTGGAGAGGAGTGGGACAGGATGCAAATATAGTGTCTTTGATTTAGTTTCAGTCAGCGTCAATTACAAAGTTTCTGGAAGTGTTTGAAGAGTTCTGGGCTATGAGCGGTGGACACACGTTTTTGTTGGCTTGTGAAGTCCAGTAGGGAGGCAGAGAGTCCATTATTGGAAAAATCCTCCAATGCCTCCCTTCAGATGGATTAGTGCTAGAAAGGGGATTTGCTAGGCTCTTACTAAAATCCTCGCAATGCTGAGAATCTCATCAACTATTGACCTTTCTCTAATATTCCTCTTTAATGAATATTGAGAAGTGTGTGGTGACGCAATTCTGTAAAATCTGAAGTCTTCAGATTTCCTGGATACCCTGAACAAATTATGAGCTTGGAAATTGTACGTATCTTGTTGTTTGATGATCATCTTCTGGCAAGGATGAAGACCAAGTATCCCTACCTATTTCTTTAGATTTATGAACAGCCTTTGAGATCACTGACCATGAGGTAATATTGACATGATTTTGACCATAACAGGGATAGACAGAGTTCCTCATGAGTGGCTTCCCCCTTTTGTGTCTGAGATGACTCAGAACATAAGTACTCCTGAGGGAAGCACCAAAAAATTAAAAATTCTGCACACAATATTTTAAAATTCTGCATATTTTGTTAAAATAACAATATAATCACACCATTTGCTGACAAGTATTGTGAAACGAATTACAAAATACTTAAAAATGGTGTGATTATATTGTTATTGTGCTAGTGTTATTTTGACAAATGAGATATGCAGAACTTGGTAGAATTTTAAAATTTTTAATTATTTGGCATAGAATTTTTGATGCAGAATTCCCTCAAGAGTACCAGGGTTCTGTGTGGGGCAATCTGGGTGCAGGCAGCTCAATGGAGGGTCAGGGTGCAGGGGGGATTTGGATGCACAGGGGCTCATTGGGGGGTTCTGGGTGCAGGGGGAATGGGACTCCGCAGGCAAGTCCAGGTAAAGATGGTTAGGGCTCAGCGGGGGGGTCTGGGTCCTGAGGAAGTAAGGCTTGGTGGGGTGGGGTTGGGGTCCAGGTGTGGGGGGCTCCTGATGCAGGGAGTGAGGCTTGGGGTTGGGGTGGGAGATTCAGGGGGGATCAGGGGTGTCAAGATTCCTTCCCCACTCTGAACGCTAGGGTACAGATGTGGGGACCTGCATGAAAACCTCCTAAGCTTATCTTTACCAGCTTAGGTCAAAAACTTCCCCAAGGTACAAAATATTCCACCCTTTGTCCTTGGATTGGCCGCTACCACCACCAAACAATTACTGGTTACTGGGGAAGAGCTGTTTGGAAACGTCTTTCCCCCCAAAATACTTCCCAAAACCTTGTACCCCACTTCCTGGACAAGGTTTGGTAAAAAGCCTCACCAATTTGCCTAGGTGACTATAGACCCAGACCCTTGGATCTTAAGAACAATGAACAATCCTCCCAACACTTGCACCCCCCCTTTCCTGGGAAATGTTGGATAAAAAGCCTCACCAAGTTGCATAGGTGACCACAGACTCAAACCCTTGGATCTGAGAACAATGATAAAGCATTCAGTTTTCTTACAAGAAGACTTTTAATAGAAATAGGAGTAAATAGAAGTAAAGAAATCCCCTCTGTAAAATTAGGATGGTAGATACCTTACAGGGTAATTAGATTCAAAACATAGAGAATCCCTCTAGGCAAAACCTTAAGTTACAAAAAAAGATACACAGACAGAAATAGTTATTCTATTCAGCACAATTCTTTTCTCAGCCATTTAAAGAAATCATAATCTAACACATACCTAGCTAGATTACTTACTAAAAGTTTTAAGACTCCATTCCTGATCTATCCCCGACAAAAGCAGCATAAAGACAGACAGAGACCCTTTGTTTCTCTCCCTCCTCCCAGCTTTTGAAAGTATCTTGTCTCCTCATTGGTCATTTTGGTCAGGTGCCAGTGAAGTTACCTTTAGCTTCTTAACCCTTTACAGGTGAGAGGAGTTTTCCTTTGGCCAGGAGGGATTTTAAAGGGGTTTACCCTTCCCTTTATATTTATGACAAGGGGGATGAGGCTCAGCACAGGGCTTAGGTGCAGAATTCCCCCAGGAGTAAATAAGGTGATTTCTCATCTTCCTGAAGGGGTCTCTCCTGTGGTGTACTTGCTGGATTATAATTTTTATGTATGTATATATTTATTTTTAATGTTTTTTTTTTTAGTTTCTTGAAATTCCTAACAAACAGAAATTAGAAAATATACACCCAATCACAAGGAACAATACTGATATCAGGTTAACTCAAGCAGACGCTGTAACAAAATCAAAAGGAAAGAATGTAAAAGGGAAATTAAATATCATGATGAAAAAGCTACAATCGTATTGTTACATTTTAAAGGATTGCTTTGGAAGTTATAAGTGACCGTAAAATACTGAATTGTATGGTAAAACACACGCCCACACTATATACTCTGATTTGAAAAATACACTTAAGATAACTGTATTTTAAGGATGGGTATTCCAAAACCATTCAGTATTTATTAGCCTATTTCTGTTTCTATTAAAGTTAATGGTAAAGCTCCCAATGACTTAAATAGGAGCAATATTAGGCCTACACTGAGCGCCTTTGAAATTTCCATCCCAAATGTTTTACCATTACATCTCATGGCTGTATCACAATAAAGTATAAAAGCAAAATAGAAAGACTCATCAATCAAATCAATCTTACTGATTTGGACGTTAACGAAAAATCATTAGAGCCAAGCCCTATTCCTAAGGTACATGTGAACTTCTATGTAATTTTCACTTATTTGGACTTACACCAAGAGGCTCAGATAGGAACACATTAAAATTATCTAAATAAACAGTATCTCATATGCATTTTGAACTTTATTCAGAGTTATGGGTCTTTTGATTTGGAGATTTCAGAATGTTGGTCTAAGAAAAATAAAGTACCGTAGATCAGCAGTTCTCAACCGGGGGTCTGGGGCCCTCTGGGGGGCTGCAAGTAGGTTTCATGGGGTCTATGAAGCAGGGCTGACAGACTCACTGGGACCCAGGACAGAAAGCCAAAGCCCAACCGCATGGGGCTGAAGACCAGGGCCCTGAGTCTTGCCACCTGGGGCTGAAGCCAAAGCCTGAACAACTTAGCTTTGTGGGGGCCCCTGTGGCATGGGGCCCTGGGGACTTTCCCTGCTTGCTACTCCCTAATGCCAGCCCTTTTATATGCAGAAAAACAGTTGTGGCACAGGTGGGCCATGGAATTTTTATAGCATATTGTGGGGCCTCAGAAAGAAAAAGGTTGAGAACCCCTGCTGTAGATAGTTTCTTCTTCCACAGCACAAAACACACAGGGGCAGGGCTGTGCATAGCACATGATTATTTATGGTAATTATGGAACCTAGAACTTCTAAGGAGTGTCCAGAAATCAGCATTAGGTTCTTTAGTTCAGAAATGTTAACATTAGATTTATACATACAAAACACATTGATTGAAATGTTCCTACCAATCTCACATCAAATAAGGTGGAAGAGTGGGACTTATTTCACCTAAAAGGTAGAATAGCTGGCACTCCTGAGATTAACCTTTTACGCAAATTTCTAACAGAAATTAAGTGAGAAGAAGGTGTGTTGATGACATCTGGTTTGGAACTCTACCATCTGAAACATGATCTGGAGCTACTGTTTCAATCCTCAGGCCCTATTTGCCACTTTTCTGAGATCAGGATGTGTGGATCTGACATAAGAATTTTTTCTTTATACTGCAAATAATTGGTGAAATTATGCTCTAATGGTTACTGCACATCCTGTCTTCTACTGTAGGAGAGAAAGCAGTGTAATGCTTGAAATTCCATACAGCTTTTTAAAAACTTCAAGGGCCGTACATATGATGTCATCTAGAGCAGTGTTTCTCAACAACCGGTCCCTGAGATCTCCCTGATACAGTTAGGAAGGCAGCAAGTCAGTCCCTGGTATCAAAAAGGTTGAGAAACACTCATCTAGAGGAAGTTTAACATACAGTAGAATACTTATACATTTAAGTGGTTGCTGGTAGTAACTCTAAGTCAACACTCAACAATCTTCCACATAAAACAAGTGCATGCTGATCTAGCAAAAATATATAGCGTTCCATTTCCAATTGGTTTTGAGCACTGGTATTTCATAACTTTAAAAGTAGGTTTTTATAAAATTACATTCTGAATGAAGTTTTCACTTCTGGACACTCTTCAGACATTTTAATATTACATTAATTGATTACTAAAAGTCCTGATTTTTTATTGCTCAAACACTGTCATGTCCTATCTCTTCTCCCCTTGTTTAGGTCAACTCTTGTGTTGTATTTAATTTAAAGCCCAACCCTGTGGTTAGCTGAGTGCCATCAATGACCAGGACACACCATGCCTATAGGAGGCACTAAGCATCATATAGGATTGAGCGTTAAATCAAGTATTGCAAAAAGAGACTCCTTGAAGCAAGGCACCTGCCGTTTAATTGGTCTATAAAGCCTGCATGATTAGATTTGAAATTAGGAAATGTGAATTCAAATATTTTTACAATCTAGAGAAAAGTCAGAGAAACCAGAGAAACTTTTTATTGCACAAAATAAATTATATAGAAAACAAAATGCAACAAAACAATTTGTATTTGTAGGCTGCACAACAGATGTTACAACATGAATATATTTATTGCTTTCAGAAAGGAGCAATTCAGTGCTAGTAAGCAGATTAGTTATACTTCTTGCTCATCTAGATTTTTCATAGGATTAATTCAACTGGGCCAGAGGCATCTTGCAGCATATGGACCTTACACAATTGTAACTTACTATAGCAGTAAATGAAGGTGCCGTGGATATTCTTGACAATTACATGAAACACTCAATTTAACATCACTGGTACTGAAGCATACATACAATCACAATAAGAAACTGTTACATATCAAATATATTTCTTAAAATGTCCATTTACAGAGTTTGCATGAGTTATTGTACTAAAATTTACCCTCTTTACAAATGTAGGTATAACTCCAAACAAACTCAATTTTCTCTGCATCAAAATACAACACAGACCTGATTTTGCCAAATGAAGGCTAGTACCAACTCAGTACTTAATTATAGAAGTGTTCACTTGTTCTAATGTAGTTATGGGTTTATCATCCTTTTTCAGGACAACCCTCTATTTTTTAAAAGAGTTATAACTCAGCTGAAAAGAATATTCCAGAGTGACCTTTGGCAGAGCGGGGGGGAAACGACAGTACTTGTTTTATACACTAACAAAAATACTCAATTGGTTATTTAAAAAAATATATAGGGCTGCAATATATATTTTACATATATATTACATTTATAACTCAAAGTGGTTTGAGATTCTAAAATACTACTTTGTTGACCCTGAGATGTTGAGCCCCCATTGATTTAATATGGACATACTATTAGTAGCTATTTAACAAGAAATTTAAAAAGTGTAAAATATTCAAATTGTAAGATGTTTAAGAAATACTGACTACTTTAGGAACTTAAGAAAAGCGTAAGTGTATTAATATGGTAATGGTTTTACCAAGTATTTGCAGTCTATTGAATAAAATCCTCTCACTATTTAATTATGTAAATATTTACACACATTTAGGATTGTAATATTGTAATTTACTGTGGACTTCTGGGCTTATAGTTACTAAACTTTACAAACTTATGGAAAACTAACACAATACATTAAGCATGACTAATGTTAGAGATATGACAGATGCCACAAATGTAAGGAAATTCAGAGTGAAGGTGGGAACTCTTGGCCATATTCAAGTCTAAGTTACATGAATGTAAAAGCAAAGAAACACCATTAAAGTCAAATCTAGAGCTCTGACCCAGCCTGAGGACCTGTTAGTGAAGACCCATGCAGAGTCCCATTGTGTGAAGACTGTGGGTTTACATGTGTGGAACTGAGATCAGAGTCTGGCCATCTGTCTTTAACAGTGATCTGGTAGAATTCATTTGGAATGGTGTGTGTGTGTTGCTGGGTTCCTTTAGATGTTAGATATACTACAGTACAAGCTGGCACAAAAAATGGGTTAAGAATGGCATTTCAGCCATCATTGCAATTTCACCATGTCAGTGTCCATGGTTCCATGAGATTAAGTCCTAATGTCATATCATGTGTTTTTTTGTGTTTTCAAAAAAGTAGTTTAAAAGTACGGTTGGTACAAATTACTATGTACTAGTAACTCAAAAGGTGCAGTTGTAACATGCATATGTTCCAGCAGCAGTTTCCTAAAATTCAAAAATATCGAGTATCAGATATGTCCCACGGCACTAGGAAAATACTATTTGCTTCACATATCTGGTATGTCATTTTCATTCAGTGGGGAAATTTGCTATTAAATACTGATGTCTAGCAAATCTGTTGTAACTTTAGATAATTTTATGGATTGCATAAACTGTAAATGGACTATGTAAATATTGTATACCTTAAAACATCCATTGGAATGTGACCCTCACAATGAAATTTGCTGTATCACAACAAATACAATAAAGTAGGAATGTTATAAGGTAGGAAGAAACTAATGTCAAAAATGAAAAAACAGCACCGTCATTATATGTTATGCAATCAAATTATTGATAATGTAGACATTTTTTGTAGCATGGTCAGATAGACTTGGCTAAGTCCAGGTATAAAATGCATTTAGCCCAGCTGTAACAACTATACAGCTTTATACAGAATAAACATTCCATAAATCAACTGAGAATGCATTTGAGCACAAAAATAAAAATATTTAAGTGATTCTCTAAGCAGCTTTTTGTTTTTTCAAAACATAAACATAGATATTGGACTGATTAAATATCTACAAGTGCTTTTCCTTTATAAAAATACATATATTCTTAGTAGTAGGATAGACTAAGTCATTAACAATGACCTGGTATTTTTTTTTCACTTCAATTTGAATGATTTATAAGCTAAATTTTACAACCACAAAAAGGTTCATTTGTAATAAGGTGTTATCACTTTTGACAAAAAGCTTAAAATATTTTATATTTTAAAAGAAAATTAGCAACATAACATTACAATACGTCCTATGATCTCTAAGTATTGTGAGGGCTGTTGTATTAAAAACGGATAGCCACTGACCAGATGCAAGGAAGAATTACTGCCCACCACAAGCTCCTTTCTTATCTTTACTTGGATCACAGCTTATATAAGGACACTTAGGCCCCCATCCAAAAAAATGCCATTTAGAGTACTCTATACAGACTATTCGGTAGCCTGGAACGTCTAATAGATCAGGCTTTGCATTGATTTTTTTAAAATGCAAAATATTTTTGAGTTTGCATTTGGGAAAATATTTACAAAATTATCCATTGCTTAATGTTTATTCCAGGAAGTTTCTACTCCTGAAAAAATAGAAAAGAAATAAGAGCTACTGCAATTTTTTAAGTGACAGATTTTAAAATCTCTTTAAATAATTGTTCTGTTTTTTCCAATGTAGTTCAGGACTATCCTGGAAAAGAAATGCAAGAGATTTATCTAATTTTTTATTTTTACTGCACCACACACAAAATAACCTTGATATTTTTACTAATCAATAGTCTGATGTTACTGAAAGCAATGCCATTTGCTAAAAAAATAGCTATAAAATCTGTAAAATGTACTTTAACATCTTTGCATGATCCTCCAAGTCTGTCCTTTTTACCCTCCAAAAATTCACTAAGCTACAGCTAGAAAACCCAAAAGTATCTTTGTGAATATTTTGTGCTTCAGAAGGTTTATGAGATTGACAGTACACGGAAGTATTTTATTAGTTCACAGGCCAGGTATAGCACAGATATCAGTAATGCAAGCCTTTATGCTTCTTTTTGTTAACAGACATTACCCATGACCTAAAAGGGACCATTCTTTCTACCCATGACTGGTAAATTCAATCCTTATGCTAATTTCCAATAATTTATCTGTTATTCAAAAATTGACAGGTATGCCAAACTCTAGTTTGGCAATAAACAGCTACCACCAGTAACATACGTTTGTTTGATACCAGATGCATTACACTTGACTAACTAGATGTCCACTGCACTCCTCAACGGAAAATGACAATGCTTTATTCCAAGTCAGTTTCTGGATGGCTGACCTTTGGTATTAAAACGTCCCTTAAACTATTAGGCAAGCAAATAAGTCATAAAAATATAGTCTTTAAAAAAAACTTTATGAATAAATTAAATGTATGATAGGCAGATGCACGGAGTAATTTAAGTCAATCAGAATTCAGTTTTCCAGTAAAAAGGTACAGTGAGCAACTGATTATACTGCACCAAAATCCCTCAGACACAACGGCAACATCTACATTGCTAATCACCTGATAGAATACAAAACACAGTTATGGGACCAGAATATCACCACAGAATAAATGCTTCTCACTTTGACAGTAAACATCTTTGCTTCACCTTTGTTTGCAATAGAAAACTTAGACTATAGCCAGCAGCACAAAAATGTTTTACCCTTGTAAGAATTTTATATACTACACCATTCTCTCTTAATCCAAACCCTGCCTGCTGCTCATCACCTTAAGGGAAAAAAATAACAATTTATTTTCATCCCATCCATCCTTTTATATGTCACGTATTAAGCCCCCTTTAAAAATATCTGCTAGAAAAAATTTATATATATATATTTATATATATATAAAGTTTACTGTAAGAAAAAGTACATATATCATAGCAATATGCAAATTCAATCTAATGCCTCTCTTTGGTTCGTTAATATAATCATGGAATCTTTATCTTATGGGACTGGCCTCTCCTGCAGTTTGAAACATTAGAGTTGCACCTCTCTTTCTACAAATACAAGAGGCAGCTCAGGTCTACAGGCTTTTCCACACCCCTACCACTACTCTTGAAGTGCTTCCAGAGCTGTATAGAAACATTAAATTGCTTATCAGTAAAGGAAACAAACTTCTTAATGGTAATGACAGGATTCAGAAGTGACCATTGTAAAAACACCAGCAGAATGTCTTGTGTCAAAGGAAACCCTACTTAGAAATCCCATCTGAAAGATCCTGACCTCTCCCTCCCATCCATCTGAGACATTTGGGACGTAGTGAGTAGTAAGGAAAAAAATTAGCTGGGAAGTAAAGATGAGTAAGACAAGGAAAATATTCCCCTTCTCTAAAATTAGTAGCATTAATCTATTCTGGGATCACTGTTTGGAGCACATTCCCACAGAGGGATGCTTCAGTTGAGAAGGGAAGATCAAGCCAATAGTGTTTTACTAAAATGTTGATAGATGACCAGGTGGAAGTTTTTCAGATTTCTTCTGTGGTGGCTCAAGCTTTTTCTGCCCTGAAAGCCATCTTGGAAAGTGTTAAGTAGGCTCTGATCCCTTCTAGAATCAGTCTGTCTACAGCTGACTATGCTTTGGTGAAGCAGGACTAGATCCACCTGACTATGGAGGATTTAGCTGGCTTAGCCCAGGCATTATGGGCAAAAACAAAACAATCAATATTTTTCTGAATTGATTGGTTCTACTAAGGTATATTTCACTGTTCTTCTCACATGTAGGATATGCCATGCTTTTATCCTCTCCAAATGTGAGGTATTGGACAAAATGAATGAATAATCTCCCATGAAGTACTGATGGGTTAACCTTGTTTATGAATGCCTCTAGAGTAGAAAGAGCTTTATCTTGTCCTCCTGGAAGATATAGTAAAGCTTTGTCTTCTAAAAGCAATGTTTTCTGAAACTCTTCTGGTTGACATGACGCATAACTTTACTATAAGGAAATACAGGGAATTATGTATCATTGATTCAAAGGTCTGGATTGCGAAAGCTTGTAGCATTGTGGACAGCTCCTATGTGGCTTGCTTTATTGGAAAATAGATGAGTTTATTCTCAGGAGGGAATCTGCATTACTTTGGCATTTAGACTTGAAATTCTCATGTCCTCATGTCAATTTATATATGCCATGGTCATGACTGAACTAGAATATGCTCCTTCCCTAAGGCAAGAGCTGAAGTCTCAAAGAGCCAGCCTGAAGGCTCCCAAATCTGGAGCCTGGAGCTTTTTTAACTTTGTTTATTGTGGTGCTCCAGGTGTGTTCCCCATCCTGAAAGGTTGATACCAGAGGTCTGGATTTTGGTATCTGGACTGCAGAAAGGAAGTTGCTACAATCATATGGGCTTCCCATCACCACCAAATGAATCACTGAAACACTCTGGATAGTATCTGCTTTCCTACACTTCTCTTGTTGTGACAGTTCCAGGCTCATAAGAGAAATCCTTGACGTAATACCATATGCACTCTTGTCTAGGGTGTAATTTCTATGTACAAGGCCAGAAGACCAAGGGGGTGCAAGTACGCACAACTTAAAGATCAGTGCGTGGGCCATGTTTAATCTTTCCTGTGTTGGTAAGGCTGCATTCAACTCCTAGGTGAATGATACTTTGAGAGGGCTTCAGAAAATTCTTCTATCTGAATATTTTCTATTTTGTCAACCTGTTCATTTTCCTTGTCTAAGACCGCTTGGACTCTCCTCATCTTTTTCTTACTCTGAAGAATATGAAGCAGAGTCCCGAACCTTTGAGGGACAAGTTCTATTGCTTCTTACTCCAGGTGACTGTCTGACTGAACTAGGACACTCTCCTTCAGGTGTGAGATCTCCTTCAGGATTATTTGATGTTTTTAGTTGTCTTGCGAGGTTGAAGAGGGATGAAAAAGAGATGTGGAGGAGTCTGGAACTCCAGGGTGCATCTCTGCTTCACTCGGTTCTGAACTTACCTGTTAGTCATTATGCAAGTATGCATCCGATGAAGTGAGCTGTAGCTCACGAAAGCTTATGCTCAAATAAATTGGTTAGTCTGTAAGGTGCCACAAGTACTCCTTTTCTTTTTGCGAATACAGACTAACACGGCTGTTACTCTGAAACCTGAAATTAGAATGAGGTATCTGGAAAAGGGAATACCCTGCTTTGTAGGCCTACTTGACTGAAAACTGTTGTAGGCCTACTTGACTGCTCAAACTGAATGAGCTGGAAAGAGGAGTTGGACTCATTTCTTGGTTTGGGCTTTCTTCTTATGTTCTTACCCTCTTGTGGATAGGAATAAAAGGACCTTTACATCCTTCAACTTGACTGGAATGGGAGCAAACACTTTGGCTAGTCCATGTAATTGGCTAGAACTGTATCAAGCTTTTCTCCACGTAGGATTCCGCTGGTGTGTTTTGAAACTCAGAGAATTGGCACTGAATAACTATGCTGTCAAGAACTTCAATCAGTTAGGGCTTCTCTAGTTTGTGGCAAACTGGGATGTGACTCTACCCTGCCTTATTTTGCCATGGACTAACTGACGTGCATTAACAGTTCTTTTATTAACTAAATGAGACTGTATTAATGAACTGTTAATACTTGTCAGCAGGATCGAGAGCAGGCTAGTGTAGGGTATATTCACACTGCAGTTTGTGGGAAATTAAATGTTTGTGTACACAAGCCCTTAGTGTCTGGCTGAGTTGGCTTTTGTGGTTTTGCTGCAACTCCATGGAATACCCTTCTGTAGCTTCTCAGACCTTATGGCAAATAGATTGCCTCTTGACCTCTGTGGTGATATGGAAATGGAAAACATATAGAGCAAAAGAGCTCAGTGGGTGGTCCCATTTAGGGAGAAAAGCCCTACAAATTTTGGTTCACTATGGGAGAGTAGAGAGCAAAAGATTTTGGTTGCTGCTGTCACAAAATCAGCTTTAAAAAGCTAGGATTGAAATGGATAACATGGGAGCCCTGTCTACCACTCTGCTGCAGAAAGTAAATTTAAGTCCTAAACCACAATGGACAAATCTGAGTTGCTCCTGGAATTTGCAAGAGAAATACAGCCAAAATATCTCAGACTAAGGAAAAAGATAAGGATCCAGAATTCAAGATTAGGGGAAAATAAAATTGACTCAACATAAGACTCATCCTTTTTAAATAGTTTCTAGTATGTGAGATACTGTATTTGCCCATATTTAAACTGCCTAATTAACAGAAAATATTTCTTTGATGTCGGCTTGTTTCACTTGAAGGAAGATTCTTCTATGTAGAGTTCTATTAAGAAATACTATTACTGAAAATATTGAGACCATTTATAATACACAGAAAAATATTCTTATTTAAAATGTATGAAGTGGGTCTAAAAGATATTCTATATTAGTAATCCACCATTTTCCTTTAAATAACATTTTCAGTAAAACCAGAAGAGTCAAAATAATTTACATTATAAAATGTCATTAAAGAGAAGAATATAGTTACATTTTTGTTGCACATTGTTTCCTATCTGAGCACCCCATACGTTAGGGTCTGATTCTGAAAACATTTATTTGAATAATCCTTACTGTAGTGATAAGTTCCACTGACTACAGTGGGGGCTATTCAGACAAATAAGAATTATTCATGTGTTTGCAGGATTGGGCCCTTAGTCAAGGTAGTTTAATAGTACACAATGTAATGCACATTTCATGCTAATCTAATAGATTTGTATTATATATGCTTTTGAGATCTTACAAGATCCTATTCTGTAAACTCTTAATTTACAGTATGTTAGGGGACATACACTGCATACAGATTTCTAGTCTAACAAAAGGCATTACATTTGACTTCTATTAATGGGCTATCTGGGAGAAGGAGGAGGATATAACTTCTGGGCTCTCATTTTAGAAAAAAACCTAAACTTGTGAGATAGAGTTAAAGGTTGTACAATTAGGGAAAGTGTCTCATTTTAGGTCTGACCACCCCCCATTGCAGGTGGGAACCAACAATATGGATAATTGCAGAATAACTATTGTGGGCTCAGCTATTTTCTTCCTTCCTGATTGACTTTATGCAGCGGTGAGACACTGTCTGCTATTTAAATGTCCACATCAAGCACGCCTGTACGTAGTAGTGTCCTGTTTTATTTGGAGATGCTGTGTGATTTTCATTGAATACCCATGTTCCCACTGCATTATAATCTGACTTTGGCACTCAAAAGTGTCTGTACATGCACTTGACTATTCTTACATTTGTCTTATTTTTTAATTGGCACAATGTATCAACAGGGATAATCACACGTACATATCTGTAGACATGTCACACTATGCAGTATAAGAAAAGAGGAATTTACTGCAGGAGAGACAGCACTTGTGTTATGCAAACTGCCCATATAGATATCAATTTGGCTGGCATCTAACCCCTAGGACAAGCATTCAACCAAACCACAAGCAGGCACTATGCTGTCATATCTGAAATTCATACTTGTAGGTAGCTAGATCGTATGTTTATAAAAGCACTGAAAGACAGGATACTCAACTAAGTACATTGAAAATGTATCTGTCCTTAGTTTTTGAACTTACAGTGAAGAAGATTTGACTTCCCTAATCCAGTTCTGAGCTGGATTTAAAAAACAAAAACCATGAAATAACACAGTTGTCAATTCTGAGCAAGACAAATTTTTGGCTTCCTGAACTTAGAATGCAGAAAATCTTATGAAACATTCAAATCTCTATTCATTGTCACTCATGGGCCCTCATAATAGAGTAAAAAGAATTTTCAGTGGCCATGCTAAATCCAATATGAATTTGTTGGTTGGGTGCAAAATTCTGTCTATGGCATGGCCTTAAGAATGGACTCAAAGTGATAAATTTTGTGTTAGACAAGGTAGGTGAGGGAAAATCTTATATTGGACCAACTTCTGTTGATGAAAGACAAGCTTTCAAGCTCACAGAGCTTTTCTTTGGGTCTGGGAAAGATACTCAGATTGTCAACGGTTAAATAGAAGATGGAACAGACGGTTAAAAATAAAAAGTTAACACGTTTCAAGAGATCATTCAAGATAAAGTGGGAAAAATATTTGAGAAAAATGTTTACCCACAGGTAATATGGTGTTTCCACATTGGAACCCATATAGGGAATCATTAAATAATTATAACCCATACTCGATGGGACCACATCCTGAAATAAATCTTTCCCAAACCCCCTCTTCTGGCCTTCAAACAACCTTCCAACCTTACCAAGGTCATCATCAGAAGCAAGCTCCCCACAGATCAGAATACACCAACTCAAAGTGGCACTAGACCCTGCCAGAACAACAGATGCAAAACCCGGATGACATATCTCCACTTTTATAATGATCAATATCTTCCACAATACACCATTCAAGACCCATGGGTCCTACACATGCCTAACACAATATGTGGTGTACCTCATCCAATGCACTAAATGCCCCATTAACAACTGTGGGTGAAACCAGACAATCACTATACTCTCAAATGAACTCACAGAGAAAAATGATAAAAGACAAAAATCACCCTATCACCCGTGACCAAACACCTTTCAAAAAGCCATCACTCCATATCTGACCTATCCTCATCCTCAAAGGAAGTCCGCATAACACCTTCAAAAGCTGGAAAAAATTCACAACTCTGCTAGACATTAAAAACCATGGACTCAATAAAGACACTGGATTTATGGCTCATTATAACCATCTGTGCTCCACTAGTCCTCCTTTGTCCCATGACTGCAGAGGTGTTAACTGCTCACTTAATGACCTGAATGGTCTCTTGCAACGTGTTAACTCCTTACGTTTAGCAATTTATTCCGTCTTGTATTTAGCTGTGACACACTGTGTACTTTTCTCAGACCTGAAGAAGAGCTCCGTGAGCTTGAAAGCTTGTCTTTCACCAGCAGAAGTTGGTCCAATAAATATTACCTCACCTAACTTGTCTCTCGACTATCTTGAGACTACATGGCTACAACAACACTGCAGACAAATTCTGTGCTGTCCTTCTGTTTGTTTAAAACACCCAGTCCAAATGTACCAAACCAGCAAATATACAACTGAAGAAATACATTGTCTCCCCCAAATCAACTAAAAATTAAGCTTGGAATATTGCTATTAATTTTATGACAAACTGAAACCAAAAGCTTTGAAACAAACCTTTCATTTGAACGTGAAGCCACCTTGAAAATACTCCTGGCATAAAAACAATACTTCTATGATGTGAAGGGCATAAAAATTGAAAGGTGTCATTTGTACATACATGTAAATATTTAGAAATAACATCCTGTTGCTACTTTATAAAGGAATTTAGTATGATGCACATAACATTGATATGCAATAGAAATTTGGATCCCCCTCCTGCAAGCTGATCCATGTGGGCAGACCTCTGTGTCTGTCAAGAGTACCACTGCATTTGTTAAGGCTCTGTGTAGGAGCTGGGGGTTTACCACCATGGAGCAGCTTGTCAAATCTGCCAACGAGCATGCCATGGACTGGGAACAAGCATGCCATGGACTGGGAGGGCAAGAGGTGACTAGCCTTTGCAACCAGCAAGTGCATCTGTTGCTATCAACTGTATGACCCAACTAACCCCAAAACCAGTCAGAACACTGTGCCTGCAGAAGGGAGTATCAGAGTGTTTCCCATGGCACCCTGTGTCAGCACATTATATGCAATCTTCATCTGCAATGGCAGGATTCCTTAACAGAATGCTATGGACAATGTCTCTACTCCCCCTTGTTATGTGGCTTTTGGAACACAAAGGTAGGATTTGACTCAGTGCATACAAACAGGATGTGATCCTGTTGTCACTAAAGTCAATGGCAAAACTCCCATTGACTTCAGGGGCCACCATTTCACCCGTAATGCATGTTTGTTTGCATGCCCAACACATATAAATTGTACTGACACCAAACTTCTATAGGAGCTATTTCCCATCATCTAGCTTTTATGCTTTGACCCTGTGGTTTTTTATTTCGGTTTTTTGTTTGATTTTCAAAGCATGAGTAATTCATTCTATAGTAGCTTCTGAAAGTCAATTTGTTTCCTTTTTTTGTATACATAAAGTCATATAAAAGTTAGTAGGAATGCTGGTAGCTGTGCATTAAGTAGAAATTATACCAAGTATTGAACTGTAAGTATCTCTGCAGAGTTTGAAATAAAAAACCCACTCTGACTTGTAAACTGAGCAAAGACAATGGAAGACTACAGAAAATATATGAAATATAATGCTCCCTGCAATGTTACTAGAAACCTTAATACAATTTTCTTCACTAGAACCATTATATTTGTGATACCTAAGGCAAAAATCACATTTTTCCCCACCACCACCAGGTCTGAGAAAAAAAAAATGCCTTGAACAGCCTATTTTCATCAGACTGCTTATCTACTACATTGCATTACCTCTAGTTTTATGGAACTAGCTTTAAGATGCGACAATAACTAATTAAATTAATCTGCAATAGCTTCTGAACTCCAGATAAACATAACAGAAATTTAATGCCATTAAAGCTGTGTATTTTGAAATATGTTAGTTTGTATTATTTTACTCTATTATATGCCACACTTGGACACATCTAAACCCAATCTTAAAAAGAAATCCTTAATGTGAATGGCAACAGAGTGACAAAAGATATATAAATGTTTGTCATATGGTGTAATTTCAGACAGGAATTTCTGCTTTTTTATTGGATATTTAAATGATTTTAACCTCACTTTTACACTGACTTTATTAAAAGAAATTTAATTTGACCAGCTGCCATTATCCTAAATAGTTGTATATCATTTTCCAATCTCTAGGCCAATCATACAATTTTGCACTCACAAGGGCTATTGTGCTATTAGGTGACACTGGCAGAATCTATTTAGACAATTTAAAATGGCTTAGTTGAATTACTATGTTCTAATATTGTTGTAAGGATAATCTTCATTCATTGAAAAAGGACTGCTGCACACTCATGAGCGAGCTATACCTGGACGCACGAGAAACTTAACAAGAAAAATGTAGTGGCACAATCACCACTGTTCTAAATATATTTTCTATACAAAATATTTTCAAGGTATAATCCATAACTTTTTGTACAGTTCGCTATCATTTATACAACAATAATCAGTAAAATAGTAAATATGTGACAATTGCAACACCACATGGAATGAGCATTCTGCCATTTTGCTAGTGTAATCAACATTAGGACCAGAAAACTCTTCTAACAGGCAGGCAAAATGTTCTGTAGTTTTTGAATCTTGACTATACACGTCATGATTTTGGCTATGACTTGCAGCACACTTTTAAGATACTACAAATATCTTATGCACATTTCAGTAACAGAATGGCACTTGGCTTGCTCTAATAGAAACAACAAAGATGCAATTGACAATTTTAAGAAAGACAATGTCCTTATTTGCATGCTGAAAGTCTGGTTGTGTCCCCTTAATCCAGGCACATCCATTCATTGTGCAATCTGTCGATGGGTAAACAAATAGTGCAGGATTCATCTCAGTGGGATCCAGCCCTTTGGTCTAACCAAAGTCAATTCTGGGTCGATACTGCAGTACCATAGGGTAAGACTAGAAACAAAAACAAAAGAAGAACACAACAACAAACAAAAAAAGACAAACAAGGATAACATGAAGGCATGGTTTATACGAAATACAAACAAGATATAATTAAACCGTACCGTAAGGAAAGTTAAAAACTTACCTCTAGGGTGATCATTAGATTAATGTGGTTTTATACATTTCAATAAAATTTACATCCACAACCAGATTTCAAAAATAAAATGAAAAGTTTCTTTTTCACGGTGAGTTCACAAGGCAGATTATAATTATATCACATACACAATACACATGCTACATAACTTAAATTGTATGTATGACATACTGGAACCACACTTGTGTGATCCTAGAAATAATTCAGGTATTCCTGTGCTGTTAGATTTGACAAAAACATTCACAAGATGTTTTTATCCCATATTGATCAAATCAATTCTAAGATGACATACTTGGCCTGATATTTCAGAGGTACAGAGAGCCAACAGCTCCCATTATAACCAGTACCAACCAATGTAAGCTGCAGTTACTCAACTCTTTTGAAAATCAAGTCAACCAGTCACTTGCTTTCATGAGAAAGGAGGACTGAAATCTCCTGAAAATATTTCCCTTATTTTCATATTCATTCAGGGCTGCATTTTCAATAGCTCTCAATCGTGCATTCACAAAAATGCAACACATCCATTTGGATACATAAATTGAGGAGCACTGTGATTAGGGAAGGAAGGTGGCTCTTGTGGTCACTTGCTCCTGAAAGTTCCATTTATATAATGTATATTTTTTCAGTCGAAGTCTGATGTTTTCTCCACATAACTTTACTTCAGTGTTGAAGCTTCTCTAACACAAAATCAGGAATGGTCTATTATGTCAGCAGTAGCATGGGGTTCAAATAGCCTCTGACTTCACTAGCAGAAGGGACAACAGTTGAGGTGCAGACTTCTTTAATTGTGTGGGTGGAATTACTGAGGTTTAACAAAATTATCATTAGCAACAAAAATATTGCATTCTTTTTTCATTCTTCAAATACAACAGATGAATCTCAGAGACCGAAAAAAAGAATAACCATTGCATTCAAGACTTATGCAAGAAATTAATGAATTTTTCTCACTATGGTAGAAAAAGAGTCAGAAATTGGAGTGATCACAATTGTTGTGGGCTTTTAGGTGTGGAAATCTGAAAAATCAGACAATTAGAGCAAAGGTATTTACAGTAGCTAGGGCATCTGGGTGAGAAGACAGAAAACACCTTAAGTGAGTTCTTGTTATAAGTAATAACCATATGCTCAAATAAACTCAATCTCAGATTATTTAGTCCAGTATATGATTACTACATGAGAAATAGGAAACCATCCCATTTAACATTTAAGAATCTTTCACACCTCAAACTAATGCTTGGTCTTGCAGACTATGTATTTGCTTCTGAACACAAGCACCTAACTTCTGTTAACACTAATGGGAATTACACACAAGCACTGAGGACAATTACACCCCTAAAATTTAGTATGAGACGATACTATACTCAAAACTGCTGTGGACAAAGTCTGCATACCACTAGAAATGTTGAGCTAACTGAACAAATACAAATTGTGATGCGTGAACAACAATGTTTTTCTAGAACACCCTTTTATTTGGACTGAATTCTGTCCTCAGTTACACCCAAGTCACTCAACTGAAGTCAACACAATTGCAAAGTGTCATTTGTATCAGAATTTGACCCTTGATCATTAATTTTGGTTTTCCATGTAAGAAAAATATTACTTGGGGTCATTTTTAAAAAACAGCCATTTTTAATAGAGATGGGCTCAAATCAAACACTGAAACCAGGTTCAGATCCAAATTTGCAGCTTGAAATCTTCTTTAAAATAGGCTAAATTAGAACACCCATTGTGAACAATATGAAAATTTGAGAAAGTTTTGATCAGATTTTGATTCCAATGTTTTGGAGTGTTTAGATCTAGAGTTTTGGTTTGCTCCATTAGAGGGATATGAAGCTGGGATGTCAGCCCATTTCCAAATTTTAAAGCAGTAAAAAGGAACACAACATTAGAAAAATCTAACATTTCTTTACTCGCCAATTTTGGATACTTTAGAGAGGTATAAACTTCCATTATGTCCCTAACCATGCAGTACCATGCAGTCCCTAACCATGCAGTATTATCATAAGGGAGGACAAGGGGAGAAAGGGAAGAGTGGAGCCGTCTTTTAGCACCCTGCTGGCGATCATTGTATGCACTGAAGCATGAAGATAAAAAGCCTTTATTTAAAAAATCGTAAGCCTTAAAACTCCTGAGTGTACTTCATTAATTCAATACAAGCTTTATGGAATGAATAAATAGACGACTTAGACCTTATATGTCAAGTTTTAGCTCAGAGGAACATAGAGTTATAAAACCTCCACAATGACGAGTTACAATTAAAATGTTGACAGGATCTGTAATATGTACAGTCGTGAGTGCCTCTTACCTGATAAAAAGTGCCATCCTGTGAGCAGACTTGCGAAGATGAGCAGTTCTGACACCGAAACTGCGGAGGAGATGATTTTCTGATCAGATAAGAGGCATCCACAACTGGACACATACATTTATCATCAATCGTTTAATTTTTTTTTGTTTCAAATTAGAGAATTAAAATTAATTATTTTTAAAATAGAAAAGCATTTTCCAAGGAATATATTATCATTGTTTCTTAGACTATATCTAGCTCTCCTGGTGTCCAGAGGTGTGTCAACAAAAGGTCACAGTGAACAGTGTCATAGACACAGATAATGGATTTAACTGAGCTTCATCCATCAAAGAAAGATTATCAGCTAAGAACCAGTATAGCTTCTGTACCACACTTTGGCCTAAAACCAACTTGACCAGGGGCTAGACAACCACAGAAGAGCATACATCATTGGAGCTGCCTTACTATAACCTTCTTGATAATTCCCCCACCTCCCCCCCCCCCCCAAAAAAAAAAAAAAGTTTCCAAATAGATTAATAACTGGAGAGTTTGTTACCAACATAATTTCTGAAATATTTCACCCAGGCAGGAATAGCACCCTGAAGAGACTTGAGCTACTTCAAAGATGATAGTATTATACATTTTATATTTTTTTCTGTTGGTTTTGGTTTGCAATCATTGGCTATTAAGAATAATTTATAATTCTCCAATGGAAAAGGTGAATGCATCACCTGGAGATTCTGTGGGACTATAAATGATCCATAAAATTTCACTGAGTTTTCAGTTACATCATATATATCCAAGAAAAAGTTTTTCTTTTAATTTTTTTGAAAAATTTAAGCTGATGCAAATATGAGCATTTGTCCAAATATTGCCTCCAAACCAATACAACTGTCAAGGATCCATGTGTTGACAGGAGGCAGTAGTTCAGCCATCTTGAATGCATTCTATTATTGTTATTGCCTCATTTCTCCTCAATATTTCCTTAGAGCACAAAGCAATGTTACCAAAATTCAGAAGGTTAGTAAAACAAATATCAACTGGATTCAAGGGCAATACTACTCTTAGATTAAAACACTCTTTGATGGCGCAATATTGCATTCTTGATAGCTATTTTAATCTCTGTGCAATATTCTGTCCTCAAACCCAGTCAATATTTGCTATGCAGAAATTAATTTTTTTAAAGGTCTTTCTAGGTTTAAAGGTAAAACTGTTAAAGAAGTTTGCAAGTTGTTTGATCATCATTGTGCTTAATCCCATCTCCTCTGCCCATGCCACAGTGAGTACTCGTAAATCAGAAAAACAGAGTGATGGGGGTGCTCTGGAATTTACTACAGCTCAGTATGTAAAACTACACCAGTACTTAACTTAATTGAACCCATGTGCAGCTTCCCCTTGCACTGAAATGCAACCACTTTGCACACAATCCAAAGCCTTGCAAGGTAATAGCAAAATATATAACCACATATAACATGAATGAATATATAAAAGAAAGATAAAATAAATACAACAGACAATGAGATGATTTCTGACAATTAGTGATCAAATGGGAGTAGTTAATGGTCCAAAACAAACCTAAGGGTTACTAACTTAATTTGATTATTGATCCCTAAGAAATGTCCTTCAGCAAGATAGCTATTGCTTTTCTAAACTATATATGTGGGGGTAAAAAATTAGCTGTCCTATCTGTTGTGGACATTATTATATGTTTAGTGTACATGACATGAATACAGAATTAAGCAATGTCAAAATAATTAGATGGCTCGAATGATTTCTCAATGTCCCATCGTATTATAAATAGAGCATTCTGAATACAGAATGATTGGACACAAACTCTTAGACTTTTGCAAGTTAAGGGATCATACTATTTCAGCTGAAATTCCTAGGATGACTAAGTGTTTGTGGTTTCAGATATTTCACCTAAGAATTCAAAATTAGAACGTATATTCAAACTTTGTATTCCTGCTAATTCTGAATGTCAAACTCTATATAGTATGCCTGTTGTAGTGTTTCAATAACTAATCTTAGAATTTTTTAATATAAATAATCTGAAGAGTATGTGAGATTAATTTTTAAATACAAATTTTGTAAAGATCACAGAACACCTTTTGGACCAAGCCATGAAGCCATACAAACTCTATAAAGAAATCTTTCTCTACACAGGCACACACAAATACATGTAAAAATCATAAAAGTACTCACATTTTCGCCTCTTAGTCTCCATCTTGTCATATAGATGAATTCCATAGTATGATCCTTCCCCATAATTTCACCATTGCATAGTACATCCAGCTTTAAAAAAAAATGATGACATAGTCCAACAGATATAAAATTGTTACTTTAAATGAAATCATAAGTGAATCTCTTAGGTATTTAATAATCCCACCAGAGACTCTTAGTGCATGAACCATACATTGACTTAAATAACATGTTGAGAAATGTCAATGCAGATGAATTCCCCCTAAAATATTGATTTTATTAATCCTATACAGTTATCTGAGTAAAGAGAAAAGCTTTACAGTGTGCCTTGGAAGATGCTCTGAACATTGCAATACTCTTTCAGTCCTAAGGATACACACATGACTATCACACTTTCCTGCTTATTAAAAAACATAAGAATAACCCAAAAATGCAAATACCATTCTTCATTAATTGAGGACTTAGGGCAGGAGAAGGAAGCAATGTGATGAAGTGAGATAAGTCTGTGAGAAGCATTTCTACAAAAATGGCATTGTGGGGTCCCCTGTTTATCGTCACTCAGGTCTTATCTCCACTGAGACTTTTTAGAAATTTTCCTATTGCTGCTTAGCAGAGGAGCTGCTCCACTGACTAGTTGAATATTACTTCTCCACCTCACACAGGTATGGTGAGGGCAAATATATTAAAGATCATGAGGTGTTCAGATACTATGGTAATGGAGGCCATATAAGTTCTTAGACATAGGCTAGTCTATCAGAACTGGGCTGCTTTTCACATTACACAGTAAAAATGAAGAATCACTAATGAAACTGCAGAATGTTTTGGTTAGGTGGTGTCTAGTTACCACTCCTCCTTTCTCAGCAGTTATAGCTATAGGGCTCACTTTTGTTATTAACTATATAAAAGGAGGCAAGAAGAGAAAACAGACCTGTATATCAAAAAACTGAAAAGATAACTAATACGTAAGTATTACACAGATTCTGTTATGGATACTGTGACTTTCCAGGACCTCTACGACTTCTTCTGGGGCAGGGCTGGAGCTGCTGTCAGCCCTGGGCTGCCAAAGCAGCTGGCCGGGGTTGGGTCAGCCCCTGTTGCAGGAGCAGCATGGGGGCTGGAGCAGTGACCCCCCGGAACAGCTGACTAGCGGCTAGCCCCGGGGCCACCGAAGAAGCTGGCTGGGGTTGGGTCAGTCCCTGCCACAAGAGCTGTGGAAGGGCTGGAGCAGCTGTCCCTCCCTCCCCAGAGTATTTTTAGTAAAAGTCAGGGACAGGTCGCAGGCAACAAACAAAAGTTCACGGAAGCCCTGACTTTTACTAAAAATACCTGTGACAGAATCTTAACCTTACTGATAAAACAAAATGATGGTCACTCCAAAGCTGAGCAACAAGCAGTATTTATATGAAGGTGCCTGGGTAGCAAGTGCAGTTGGGTGCTCCATTTTTTAAGTGCCCTTTAGTGGGCATGGCTCATTTCCAGGTTTAGAAAACCTTGTACCAGAGACTGAATACTGCCTTGTACCCACTGATTGAGTTATTTTAAAAAGCCTTTGTTTAGCTGAAGCTTAAATTTATATTTTGCAGTTTGGGGCAGGGGAACTTACCTCATAAGAACTCGGAAGCTTTAATTTTAAACTGAGAAACTTTTTGATGGTTCCCACAGTCACTCGTGTAGAACAGCGGATGAATTTCTTCATTAAACCCTAAAGGAACATATCAGAGTCGGGGTGTTAGATATTTTGAAACACAGCACCCTCACTTAAATAGCATGTATGCAACTTTTGCTACAAGAATATTTATTAGAGTGGGCATGTTTACTGTTAACTAATTTTACTGTAGTGCCTATATTTATTTAGTTTTATTATTAATTCATGAAGGATGTGTATAACTTTCTGGAAGGCTTGATTTTTTTATTAATCCAAGGTAGGCTGGTGACATTTACACTGCCACAATTTTCTTGGGCAGTAAAGACCCGGTGTTTGGCTGAGTTAGAGCACCCCCAATCTGCTACTGCTTTGCACTGGCTAGTTTGAAAATACCATAGATATTTGGAACAGCTAGCCCATCCTATTCAATGGGTCTGTATAAAGTATCTACACTCACTTTAGGTCTTTTCTTGTTCCATATAAATTCTAACAACAACCTTTGTATTCCTGCAAGGATTTTATCTGAGATAATCACAGAAAGATTTTGAAACAAGATAGATATTCTTGGCAAAACGTTTATTTTGAATGGACTCTTCTTCCTAACCAAATTGCATACTCGCTCCAGTCCTCCGCATCTTTTTTCATTTGCTGAAATAGTTGTTTGACATTTAAATCATAGAGCTCTTCTAGGTTGTCTGAGATTTAAATTCCCAGGTATCTTGTAGAATTTGTTGCCCATTTGTACCTTCAAATTTTCTGGAGCAGACTTTTCAGAATCTGGCAAATTTATAGCTAGCATTTCAGATTGGATTTAAAGTAAATTATGTCACTTTCCCAAAGTCATGGATTTCTTTAGAAATTTATTTTAGGGAAATATTTGGCTTAGTTAAAAATAATATGACAGTACTTGTATTTAAAGATACGTTCTGATAATTTTTTTGTTCAATATTTTCATTAATGATCTGGAGGATGGCGTGGATTGCACCCTCAGCAAGTTTGCAGATGACACTAAACTGGGAAGAGTGGTAGATACACTGGAGGTTAGGGATAGGATACAGAGGGACCTAGACAAATTAGAGGATTGGGCCAAAAGAAATCTGATGAGGTTCAACAAGGACAAGTGCAGAGTCCTGAACCTAGGAAGGAAGAATCCCATGCACTGCTACAGACTAGGGACTGAGTGGCTAGGCAGCAGTTCTGCGGAAAAGGACCTAGGGGTTACGGTGGATGAGAAGCTGGATATGAGTTAACAGTGTGCCCTTGTTACCAAGAAGGCTAATGGCATTTTGGGCTGTGTAAGTAGGAGCACTGCCAGCAGATCGAAGACTGTGATCATTCCCCTCTATTCGGGATTGGTGAGGCCTCATCTGGAGTACTGTGTCCAGTTTTGGGCCCCACTCTAAAAGAAGGATGTGAAAAAATTTGAAAGAGTCCAGCGGAGGGCAACAAAAATGATTAGGGGGCTGGAGCACATTACTTATGAGGATAGGCTGAGGGAACTGGGATTATTTAGTCTGCAGAAGAGAAGAATGAGGGGGGATATGATAGCTGCTTTCAACTACCTGAAAGGGGGTTCCAAAGAGGATGGATCTAGACTGTTCTCAGTGGTACCAGATGATAGAACAAGGAGTAATGGTCTCAAGTTGCAGTGGGGGGAGGTTTAGGTTGGATATTAGAAAAACTTTTTCACTAGGAGGGTGGTGAAGCACTGGAATGGGTTACCTAGGGAGGTGGTGGAATCTCCTTCCTTAGAGGTTTTTAAGGTCAGGCTCGACAAAGCCCTGGCTGGGATGATTTAGTTGGGGATTAGGTCCTGCTTTGAGCAGGGGGTTGGACTAGATGACCTCCTGACTTCCCTTCCAACCCTGATATTCTATGAAGTTCCTGCAAGTTTTATCCTGTGATAGATTCATTGTTCTTTGTGCAAAAGGCTCCATGCCAGTGAAAAAGTAATGGACAATGGACATCCTTGCCTAGTCCCTCTGTGTAATTCAAACAGTGTTGATTTAACCCCAGTAACTTGCACAGCTGCTTTTGGACCGGTGTAAAAAGCAATTATCTATTTAAGGAACTGGGGGTCAGCATCCATAAGGGGCAGGACTTGAAATAGAAAGTTCCACTCTATTTTACCAAAGGGTTTCTCTACAAGAACCAATAACAAAAGAAATAAATCTTTACTCGATTCAGCATTTTGGATGATTCCAAGTACTTTCTGAATATTGTCTGACATTTGTCTCTAATTAATCAAGTTTGATCTGGATTTATATAAGCTGAGAGCATGGAGTTTTGCAATTGGCTAGCTAGTATTTTTGCTAAAATATTTATGTTATGATTCAACAGTGCATAAAGTAAGATCTTTTCCTACTTTAGGGAGAATAACAGTAGCTTCTTTCATAGGTTGTGGAAGTTCTTCCTTTAACAGAAAAGGGCAAAAGGTACCTCTTAAGGGACCCACAAATACCTCCTTAAATATCTTGTAAAATTCAGTTGGAACACCATCAGGTCCTGGAGTTTTATCGCTGTTGATGCTTGCTATTGCCTCTAACATTTCTTCTTCTGTTATTTCTTTAACTTAAGTTGCTTAATCAATTTTATCTTTGGCAAGCCTGCTATTTACAGATATTTCTGAATAGCTTCAGAGCTTGGATAATCTGACATACTGAGGTTTTTATAATAAGCAGCAAAAATAGCACATATTTCATTAGGGTGTGTAATTATCTTTTGCTGATTGTTTTTACTTACTGGAATAACACGTTGCTGTTGAATCCCTTTAAACTTTTGAGTCAAAAGATTATCATTTTTATTTCCTTTTCCATAAGACATCTGCTTTGGATACCTACAGGATTTTTCAGTGGCATCTGTCATCAACATATTCAGTTTCCCCTTATATTAGTTAATCGTTGATGTTCTTCTTTTGAACCTATTTGTATGACTTTCTTGTAATCTTTTAATCTCCCATTCTAGTTCTGTTTTTTTCTTGAGCTCTTTCTTTCTTCAATTGAGAGTTCTGCTTATTCAAATGGCCCCTAAATACAGTTTTACCTATCTCCCAGATAAGACCTCTTTTTATATTGTATAATATAAATATCAGATCATTGTATATCATTAATCTGAAAGTATTTAACAATATCCTCTTTAACTGCTGAAACCCGATCTTTGTCTTGGAGAAGCAAGCAGTTCATTTTCCCCAAAAAAGTCATCTTTAGGACCTATCCCACCTATCAAATACTACTTTCAGCGATGCATGATCTGACCCTGCAATGGTGCCAATTTGTTCAGGTCCTGTCTGCGTCATTAAGGATTTAGACAGAAACAATACATCTAGCCTAGTATGGGTGTGAATAAAATGTATAGTCTCTTTCCCACGGGTGCAGTTCTCTCCTACAATCTGAGATTGCGTTATTAGCACAGAGAAATCAATGCTACACCTGTTTTCCCACCCCTCTTGACTTTTTTGTCAGATCTGTCCCCCTAAAGAATCAGTGTGAAACAGAAGTCTCCTCCAGGTATAATTTCTCCATCCTAAAGTCCTTCAGAATTTTAAAAATCTTAAAAAAAAGATTTGCTTTTCACTGGGAGGCACTGAGCCAACTCTTATTAATAACCCAGCCATGGTGCCCTTCAACAAGCTAAACTGGTCTTTAATGTTAAAACATACATGTTCAGCAAATACATGCACATCTATTTTTTGCTTCAGCCAAAGTAAAGATCTGCCTAAACCAATTACCTTTCATGCCCATAAAGATGCCCCTCCTGAGAATGAGTTTCTTGAAGTACAATAATCTAAGAGCATGTTTTTTAAATTTGGCCAGAACTTTTTCCCTTTTAATGCAATTATTTAGCCCTTTGACATTCAAAGATGTTATTTAAAAGGAAGAGCCATTGAGAATAACTATTTAAGCTTACTGAAAAACTTGAAATTATTGTGATTTTTTTAGCTGTTTGATGGCATGAATCCTTGTGTGTCCGATGTCTCTGGTTTCTAATTGTGTTGCATTCGTGATAGTTTGCCTGAATATGGCTTGATTTCTATTTCTAAACTTCCCTAGCTATTTCCTATAACACTTCCCCTCTGCCTCCCCACTCCTGCCTTTCCCATAGTTTCAATCCAAAACCAAAATACCACCATAGCATATAAATCACTCCCCAAACAAGTGTTTTGCTGAACCCTAAACCTCTGTACTCTCCCCATGAATACTTGGACTGCTTCTCTTGTAATTCAAAGATGGTACATTCTCCACCTATGGGACCTTGACCCTCACCCTCAGGGATTGATTATCACCTGCTAACTTGAATTACATTTGATCCTAAGGGCTCCTCCCCATTACCTCTCTATTGTCAATCTCCTCCATTCCTAGGATACCCCTACCCATTCCCTATTGAACCTTTATTTTCTAAAATGCAGCTATCACAATATTATGCTCATCTCACTTAAAGCAAACACAATACTATTTCCCTTCTAACATTAATACAGTTATTTCACAATTGTTCATTCTTGATGACTTCAGGAAGTCCCTTCTGTATAATCTTTAGCTGATTCCTCAGATATCTGAGTACTCCTGTTCAGGTTCACTTCTGCCACTGACATTACGTTATCAAGAGGATTTGTCTTTTCTTTTCCTAGTCTCCTTTTCTTGGGTTTCACCATCTGCCAGGATTTTTCCAGCATTTTCTCCTTGATTTCTACCTCTGGAGTAGGTGTTCTGATTTTTTTTTCCCTTGGAGACTCCATCTTCTGAAACCCTGTGCTCTGCTTTACAGGAGGAATTAGTAGGTTCAGAAAGTTGATGGAGGCAGTTTACTTTGCTAACCCCTTACATCTCAGGCTTCAGGAAGACATTTTTGTCCAGCCGCCTGCTGGTCCTCTATTGCATTGCTTTTAACTTTCTTTTAAGGGAATCAACAACATTGACGAAGCAAGTTCTTCCAATGTATCAGTATTTTGTACAGTTTTTAAAAAAATACAGAAATGAGGAAAATATAAAAGGGACATAGGCTAACAGGAAAGGGACACAGTCACATGATAGCTGAACAGATGGAACACTTCTTGAAACCTCTTTGGCTTATAAGAGTAAAAGACTAAAACCTTTTTCAAGTAATCCAGTGAAAACTCTCTAAGGCCCCAATGTTGAGATGTGATCTGTTATTGCAGACCCTAGCGCTTATGTGGTTAACGCTTTTCATCCAACCTGCAAAACACAGAGACCTATCTTGGGAGAAAGAGACATTTCTTGCAACATGTGAGTTATCAAGCTGAGGGAGGGACATGGACACACACACAGTTCTGATGATCCTAGGTCAGAACAAAGACTTTTCTACTGAGTAAGAGTTTCAAATATTGAGCATGATTGTTTAAAATACACACCTACACAGTAAAACATCTTGTAGTATTTGACTAGGTGAGTACTTTGTATCTACCATTTTATGATTTTCTCTCTGCAGCAGTTTGACAATTTGACAGTAAAATCGGCAAGGATTCCTACATAGCTTACTCCCCCTAGAAAGAGTTCAGACATGAGAGAAAGAAAATACCCCTAAGTGCTGGAAGACTGGTAAGCAAGCCTCATCATCTCCATTTTTCAAATAGGGAAAGTGACTTGCCCAAGGTCACAGAACAAGTTAGTGTCAACACCAGGTTTATAGCTCAGAAGATTTGGCTCTCAGTTCCTCAGTACTCGAGCAATCCTTGGGTTAAAAATACTAAATACTTTTTTTGTGAAAGTGATGGGAAGATATTTGAGCCTGTTCATGTTAAGTGGACAAACCACAACAGAAGAAGATCTAAAATATTGTAATACCACGGTGTACATTTCTATTTGGTATTCCAGTTCTCATCCTGTTTTACCACAACATGTGCTAATCCTATAGATTATTGAAAAGGTTAATCACAAATGAGTAATTTTATAGGCAGCGAATTGTGAAAATTGCAAGATTCTTTATAATGCTCCAACCAAGAGAGGATTTTGTTATGGCGACAATGGAGATGGTTATAGGTCATGAACACTGCAAAACTCTCTCCCACAGAAGTTTATCTTAAATTGTCAGGAAATAATAAGCAGCACAGATTCTTTCCAACAACTCACTTTTACTATGTTATCCCCTGACTGCCCATTGTTCCGTAAACAATCAAGGCAAATAGCAATCTGTGGGTCACTCCGATGATAATCTTTATCATCTTGATTTTCATCACCCTCTTCATCTACTTTGGGCTTGTCAGCTTTTGAACTTTCATCTGTAAAATATAAAGATCAGATTATTCAGGTACCATACAATTAAAAGGAATGGTTTGCAATGTCTGGGAATGAATTAGTACACTCATGCATACACACAGAGATATAGATATGAAATCAAAGATATATTTAAAGCTAAATTCTCCCAAATGCATTAAAATGCTTTGGTTCAATTATTTTAAATCTGGCATGTTCTTTAAAAATATGCTATTGGACTGAATTTCATTCAGTGCATTCTTTAAAAACAGCTCAATTTACAAGCCTTGAAAATTGCAGTTTACTACTGAAATTTCAATTTTACATGCACATAAAGGATTGCCAATTTACAGATAGTGGTTAGGCAGGTGGTGAATAGTGATTATGGTAGTCTATTTTTGTGTGTTTACTTCCTGTAATTAATAAAGCTCACATCTCAGAATAAGTCAACCTCATTTAACTATGCAAAACTAACATGCATTAGCTGTGGGATAACTAACATGCATTAGCTATCCTGCAGTAAAGGATAGAGGCGACAAAGCACTGTATTTTTACCATGAAGTATACTAGGCAAGATCAGCCACAGGTGGAGGTACAGTATTGACTTTGCAGTAATATCTACAGGTGCCATGTCTCCACTAAGATTTTACAGCTAATATGTTAAATATACTGCTGTAAACGCCCCCTCCTTTTTTTTTTTTTTTTTGCAGTGAAGACATAGCCTCTGTAACTATGTGTTCTTATCAGTTACCTTTTATCCTCCTTCACCCATTCCCTCCATTTATTTGTTACACCCACTTGTTGCATCTTAATTTACACTGTAAACTTTTCAGGCCATGGAGTGTCTCCTACCATGTATGTTACAGTGTCCAGCACAATAGAGCCCAGTATCAGCGGAAGCTTCCTAAAAGTGGGGGGAAGTGGGGGGAGCCCCACTGGTGACAGCCCCTAGGCCCCACCTCTGCACTGCTCCTTCTCCTCAAGCCCCTGCCCTCATGCTGCCCCTCACCCCCAAGGCCCCGTCCCCGCTCACTCTTCTCCGCCCCTGCCTCACCCCTCACTCGCCCTCATGGCTGGTAAAAAGTGCATAGCCCTCCCACTTTTAAAAGTGCGGGGGCCGTGGCCCCCTGACCCCCCCATTCTGGTGCCCCTGACAGAGTCCCAATCCTAACAGGCACCTCTGGGTGTTTTTGTAATACAAATAATACTAATCATACAGCAAATTAAAATGGTGTGTTTCTAACTGGCTTAGCTTTTAACAAGTTTGGAAGACAACATACAACACACCTATTATATACACCTAATAGTACAGGGGTGGGCAAACTTTTTGGCCTGAGGGCCACACTTGGTTTCCAAAATGGTATGGAGGGCCGGTTAGGGGAGGCTGTGTCTCCCCAAACAGCCAGGTGTGCTCCGGCCCCTGCCTCCTATCCGACCCCCCTGATTCTTACCCCTGACGGCTCCCCCAGGACTCCTGCCCCATCCACTAACCCCTGCTCCCTGTCTCCTGACCACCCCCGGACCGCCACCCCTGACTGCCCCCTGCTGCCCCATCCAACCCCCTCCTCATTCCTGACTGCCCCCCGGGACCCTGCCCCATCCAACCCCCCCGTTCCCTGCCCTCTGACCCCCCCAACCCCTATTCACACCCCCGAACTCCCCTGCCCTCTATCCAACCTCCCCTCTGCCCCCTAACCGCGCTGCCTGGAGCACCGGTGGCTGGCAGTGCTACAGCCGCGCCGCCCAGAGCACCAGGTCGGGCCGCAGCTCTGCACCTGCGCTGCCCAGCTGCCCAGAACGTGGCACAGTGTGCTGAGGCTGCGGGGGAGGGGGAACAGGAGGGGAGGGGCCGGGGGCTAGCCTCCTGGGCCAGGAGCTCAGGGGCCGGGCAGGAGGGTCCTGCGGGCCGGATGTGGCCCGTGGGCCGTAGTTTGCCCACCTCTGTAATAGTGGCAATCTCAGAGTCTTTCTATTTTATTTAGGGGGTTACTAAATAAATGCTGTTCACTGCAGGTACAAAACACTAATTCAACATATCAAGACTAATAAAGTGCTGACATGAGTTACAGAAAAATGAGTAGCTGATAAAAATTGAGAAATAAGAATGAAACTAGGACAAAAGAACAGTTTAAACATTCTGATCTATCAGCTCCAATTCACATGCATGCAAAAACTGGTTTATGAGATAAACAAGTGACTTGAATGGATTACTTTTTGCCGATTCTGATACTCTGTTAAATCAGGTTCTATTATGTTTTTTTATTTCCACCTCAAACTACTCATACATGAATAAAAACAGTTAAAATGTGAAACCAGAATCAAAACTGTATGGAAAACAATCTCTCATGCCTAAAGTAATTAATGAATAAATGCACACATTTTCAGACATAGTACCTTATTCACCTTGTCCACTTTTGTTACTCCAAATTTTTGGAAAGAAAAATATCTTAGACAAGCCAGAAACAAGACATCACTAATCACTGGCACGTTTTCTAGTTGAACAAACCACATTTTTATTTGTCCCTGCAGCTGCTTTTTACCATCTATAAACAGGATATACTGTATCAAACTACCAAGGAAAGTTCTGTGAAATTCCAGGAATTAAACCCCTTCCCTCGAACAGGCAAAGTACATATGACAAGCATTTGTCTGTGGAGAATTATCTGTGCTTCACGGCTTCTGCAGCAAATACAAAACCTTGCATAACTTTAATTTTCAGTAGTTACTAATGTTGAATAATAGAGGAAGCTTCAATTAAGGATCTGGGTTTCCTGTTAAGGCTTTTCCAATACCAGACACTAGGGAATTAGCTAACTTTCAATTAGATAAACAATCCAGGAACATGTGCAAGAGAAATATCTTTCAGGACGCCCGGACAGGAATTCAAACTCCCCTCCCAGGCCTTAAGAGCTCTATGCTATTTCCCAGAAAAGTCCTTGCAGCTATTTCAACTATGATCTTGTCTAGGCAACTGTCCAGGCATCTGGTACAAGCAACCTATTAAAGCATGACTTGATGCGATTGAAAAAAAAAATCTTTTTTAGACTTATAATACTGAATCAGTATCCAAGAAATTTCTTCAAGTCAAAAGAACCAAACCACACATGGCAGAAAAGTCCTTCACACATTACAGTATTAAGCTGCTGCCGGTACCACAAGGAAACACTAGTGAAATTATTCAGTAAGAAATCCATATACTTAATTTCTTTTCAGAGCAGATTTCTAAGCACTTTCTGGGAGTCTAACTTATTCCAAATGCTTCTGTTATGTAAACATATCTATCCAACCTGTAATCTGGACTTAGAAGTGTTTTGCAGATCCAGAACCCCTCAGCCCAAGGTCACCTTTGCTCTAACAGAAAGACCCTATATCTGTGGCAGCATATTTTGGTAGTTTGAGACTTGCGGTGAACAGACCTCACTACTGATATTAATAAAATTATTATAACTTATTCTTAAAACATTAGGTCATAACAAACTTGCTTGTACCTTTACTGAATAGTAACATATAGTTACAAGCAGATTATAGCCAGGGTGCTTGGTGAGTATGACAAACATGTTTTTAGTTATTTATGTTAGGAGGTTTTCTAGCTAATCAAAGGAATTCCAGGAGGCTTCTGCTTCCTGTCACCTCAGGGACAAGTCCCCAAGTATCAAGGGAGATACTTAGGAAGCCTAAGAGTGTTTACAAAAACTTGGAAATGCTGCATTTTTAACTTTATCTTGCTTTAACCTTCTATGCCAATTCCTTTTATGCTATGTTTTGGAAAATGGATGCAAACTTGGTTGTTGTGATTCATACTTTGTATAGAATATTTAACTGGAGTTTTAACTGTAAAAATTGCAACTGTTAAACACAATTTGGTCAAAAGGACTTCAAAAAGAAGAAAGAAGAAGTTACTCACCTTGTACAGTAACGATGGTTCTTCGAGATGTGTGTTCCTGTGGGTGCTCCACTCTAGGTATCGGTGTGTCCCTGTGCCGGAGATTTCTCGCAGCAGTACTTGGTCGGGGGAAGGGCACGCACAGGAGTCGTCTCGTGCAGCCGTTGGCACATCCTGTAGCACACGCTCTCCCGACAGTCCCTCCGTTGATGAGAGCACTATAAGGCCAACGATAGAGTCTGAGACAAGGCCTTAGGTGATAGCGTAATGCTTTGCAAAAATGTGCTCCGATATCCAGGTTGCAGCTCTACAAATATCTATTAAGGGGACATTGTTCAAGAATGCAATCGATGTCACCATGGCTTGCGTTGAGTGGGAACTGATGCCCATGGGTATGTGGGCACGGGTGTGATGCAGGTGGTAGCAAGTTTGAATACAGGTAGAGACCCATTTGGAAAGTCTCAGAGTGAATACTGTAGAGCCCTTAGAGCGCTCTGCTATAGAGACGAATAGTCTTGGTGACTTGCGGAAAGGTTTAGTTCTGTCCAAGTAGAAGGCTACAGCCCGTCTGACATCTAGCATGTGCAATGTTGCTTCTCGAGAGTTGTTATGTGGCTTGGGATAGAAGGCAGGTAAAGTTATGGTTTGGTTAATATGAAAATTTGTAGCCACTTTGGGCAAGAATTTTGGGTGAGGACATAACAATTTTGTCTTTGGTAAATACAGTGTACGGTGGTTCAGCCATAAATGCTCCTATTTCACTGACACATCTGGCAGACATGATTGCCACTAGGAATGCAGCCTTCATTGACATATGAAGGAGTTAGCAGGTTGCTAGAGGTTTGAAGGGTGGTCTTGTGAGACATTTGAACACAAAAGACTGAGATCCCATGGTGGTGCAGGTTGGCATGCCTCTGGGTACATGTTCTGTATACCTGCTAGAAAGCGCCATTTAATCGGGTGAGCGAATATTGGAGCCCCTTCTATCTGTTCGTGGAGGGCCATAACGGCAGCGAGGTGTACTTTAATAGAGCTTATGGCTAACCCTGTTTCCTTAAGTTCTAGTAGGCAGTCTAGAATCATAGAGAGAGGCGCCTTGGCCACATTCAGCTGTTTTTGCTGACACCAAAGGGAGAATCTTTC